CTGATGAATGGCTGCAAGTTTGTCAATATCCTTCATTGGAGAAGTGAACATTCCAAAACTTTACAAAGCGTTACACACTGCAATAGTCAAAACTAATAAGTGTTCACAAGGATAGGAAGAAGTTATAATTGTCAGTGTTTGCATGCAATGGGGAAGAAAGGCAAAGAAAGTGATTCATGGTTGATTGTATTGATATAAGCTAGGCTGTTCTTGTTTTCTTGCATTGTTCAACTCATTTATGTTCATATATTATGAATCAAATGAGAAAAGAAAGCTATTTTCAGCCTTGTTTAAAATCAAAAGCTTAAAAACAAGGACATCCATTGAGTTACTGTATGGAATAGACTTGCATCTTAGCTTACTTACTAAAAGGTGATCGAATTTCCTCAATTGGATCTCTATGCTTGAAATAGATCACATATCTCAACCTACAACTATATGAATTCTATCCTTGTTGTAAGACAGTAGACTGGGTTAGAGAAAGTCTGTATTGTTAACCAATAGAAGCAAGAGGTCTTGGAAAGAAATCCACTGAGATATTTTCCCCTGATGTTCTGTCAACCTATACTCTATTAAAGGTTTTTTATATTTTAAATCTGAATCCATGATTTTATGAGACAGACAGTTGACCATTATTTTGTGATTTGTCAGGTGTAATATTCATTGAAAATGGAAGAAACTTTAATGAAAATGAGACTGAGTATATTTCATCAGCAACGTAAGAAAGATGATGAACTTCTCAGGCAATTTTCTCCTCCAGGTGTCTGCCAAGTGATAAAGGCACAATCAAAGCTTGATTGTCCAGACTCAAGTATTTGAATTGCTACTTTAGATCTCTTCCCTTTTCTTATCATGTTGTTTCTTAGCTTTTATAGCTTTTAGTAAAATCTCTCGGCATATGTTAACACTCGTATCCAAAATAATGTGACAGTAAGTTAGCAGGATCCAAGCTACTGGTATCTGGATTGGTGTTGAATTTCAATAATCTTGTTTAGAATGTTTTGATCATGTTTTTACCATTCTTGCATCATTAGAAGTTTTTTTGGCACATTTAGTTTGTTTAAAAAATTAGGGCCTTTAGATGGATTGATAAGTTTGGGAAGTCAATCTGAAATGTGTCATATTTTCGTAGATGTCATAATATTTTTTTTTTTTTATGGATCATGAATAAAGATTGGAAATGTCAATTAGCTATGCTCTGACACTTTGATGTTAATAGGATAATGTTTTTAGTTGAAGTTCAAATTATCAGTGAGATTAAATTTCAGCTCAAGGAAAAGTCAAATTAGTTCAAGTTAGTGAGGAGTTTGAGTTGAACAAGTTTGAGTTAGCATGGTTCTAATTTAATTCTGGTTCCAGTTTGTGGGAGGGGTGGTGGCCTCATGGTTAGTGCACTCAACTCAGATCAAGTGGTCTGGGTTTGAGCCCAGGGTGGGGACATTATGTTGTGTTCTTGGGCAAGACACTTTACCCTCACAGTGCCTCGCCCTCTTCACCCAGGAGAATAAATGGATACCAGCTGGGGGTAACTCTCCAATGTAGTAGAAATACTCCTAGTCACCTCATGCTACACAAATTAGATTTAAGCATTTGTCCAATGGGCCACTTGGCTCATAAACAGACTTTACTTTACCTTTGAGCAGTTAGCAGTCAATTATCTGACACCTGATAATTAAGCCTTTCCTTGAAATACAAATATTTCTA